GAGGCTTTGCCAGAGCAAAGCCTCAGAGGCGCGGCACCCCGCTGCCGCTGCGGCTCTGCTCCCCGTGTCCCTGGTCTGCTGCCTGTACTGATCTGGGAAACTTTGAAGTCTTTTATTTTAGGGAGTGTGGAAGGAGGTTTAAAGAAAATGGGATATAAGGTAACTGCAAGGCCTGTCCAAACATTCAGATTAGGAAAGGCTGCAGAAGAGCTGTAGGAGGGAAAGAAGTTTTGTGCAGTGGTTAGAGTGTTAGTCTGAAACTTGGAAGACCAACGTTTAATCCTTGCTCTACTACAGGTAACTTGTGTGAACTGGGACAAGCCACTTACCTGTCACAAATGGAGAACTGGTGCACAGAGAGGCTAATAGTACAGCCCTACGCTGGAGAGAAACATTAAAAACTGTGGGGCACTCAGATACTGTGGCCAAGCGGACTGCATCAGCACCTCAATGAGTCAAGGATGGGGTCTAATTAAATATTGGATTCCCTGAGTTCTATTTCAAACTGCCATGGGCTTCCTCTGTGACCCTCAGCAACTCACTTCTCAGTGCCTCAGTTTCTCTGCCTGTAAAAAGGTGACATTTTCAGCCTTATAGAGGGGTGTGATGGGGTGTACAAACCCCACACCAAGCACCAAGGTTGTTGAAGGATCATTTTGGGCTCAGCAAATGCTCCATCTGCTGGAGGAACTACAAAAGGCAGGGAATTCGCTCATTTGGATGGCAAGAACTGGATGTGCACCAACCTGCAGTCCACAGACCAGGCAGGGCAAAGGGAAAGGCTCTGACACTGCTGCCCAAAGGGGTCCTCCCTGAAGGAAGGGAGAATCCACTGCAGAGATAACCAGAGAGGGAAGTATTCTGTGACCTGGGGCAGGCATAACTCCCTCTCATTTCTCCTGGTTTGGATCTCCCCTCAAGGCAAAGGCTCTAAACTGAGCTGGCCTTGGGGGGTTACAGGGAGTTGAACAAGAAGACGAGAAGAAGGAAGCACAGCCTTAAGCAGTCTTGCTTGCCAGATTACAAGTAGCCTGAAGGGCCCTGGATCAGAACCTGGTGGAGGGGGAAGGTCTGGCCTTCCCCGCCCCCAACCCTTTGGCAGCCTGGGATTTTGACCATGACCACTAGGCCATGCTTCTGAACCAGACCCAACGGGGGGACATTACAAGTGTTTGAGTTTTTTAGTTTAGTCCATTCAGGTTCTTGGATGAACACTGTGCTAGACAGTAAGTTCAACGTGCAATGAGCCCCTTAACGTGGATACATCCCACTTTTTCAAATAATGCTGCAACACAGAGCTAAGCAGTGAATACACAATCGTGTTGTTTTAAGTTACCCCAGAAAGGGTATGTCTACACTGCAGAGGGTTTTTTTTGGAAAAACGGGGGGGTTTCCGAAAAAACTTCTCTTACATCCACACTGCAATCACGTTCTTTCAGGGTCAAAAATTGAAAGAACAGAGGGGTTTTTTCAAAAACTGAAAGAACAGAGGGGTTTTTCCGACATTGGTAAACCTCCTTCTATGAGGAAGAAGCCTTCTTGAGAAAGAGCTCTCTTTCGGAAAAAGGCGTGTGTGGATGGGGAAGAGGGAGCGAAAGAGCTCTCTTTCGGAAAAAGGTGTGTGTGGATGGGGAAGAGGGAGTTCTTTCAAAAGAAGAGAAAAGAGGAAAAAGCACAGGTGCCCTGGTGGCCGCTCCATCCATAGTAATCACAGCTGAAATGTGATATAGCGTCCATTCAGAGTGGACACTATCTTTCGAAAAAGCAGATTGCTTTTTCGATGATCTCTTGCTGTGTAGATGCTCTCTTTCAGAAGTTTGTTTTTTTTTTGGAAGATCTCTTCCAGAAAAGCTTCTTCCAAAAGAAGCCTGTAATCTAGAAATAGCCAAACTCTCCTGAGGTGGTCTAGCTGAAAAGAAAGGTTTACTCTTTTTTTAGATCGTGGATTATACATCAGAAGAAATAGCAAAGACTTTGCAGGGTTACAGTGAATGCAAATTCTAGCACCTCCCCAGGCAGGCCCAGCTGCATGCACAGAAACAGATGCACTGCTTTAAAAATGAGGCCCTTATGGTACAAACCTCCCACTTCTTGACACCAGGCTGGGAGATATGGGCCAGAACAAAAGCCCAGTACAGCTGATGCAGAAACTCCTGTAGGCCTGAACTGGCTTTGGATCAAACTCCTGGTTGGCTGACGTGGTTTAAAATCCAAATGGCTCTAAACACATCTTGGTCCTATCCACAGTAGCCATGCAAACAGTGTTGAAACCAAATCAGCCTGGCCATCAGTCAATCAATCAACGCAGCAAACGGGTTTGAGGGCCAGAGTGGATGGAGTCAAGATGCTGCTATAGCAGGCAAATATGACAAGCAATACCAAGGGGGGGAGTGAGAACAGAAGAGGAGCTGCAGCAATGGACAGCTTAAGGCTGGTGAGTGGGCTGCATAAGTGGCCTTCCTTCATCTCAGCAGGCCACAAGATAGTTGTAAGCAAGACAGTCTCCCGGGATAGGGTAAGTTTTGCTGCTTGCACTTGTGTAGCTAGAACACGCGGCGTGTGCTGACAGAACCACAGCAGCGCTTCGATTGGAGCATGCGGCTCTGCAGTCAATATTATGTGCAATCAGCACGCCCCTTAGTTCACATGCCCTTGCTTTACGCATGTGTCACTTTTGTGATACCAGTAGGAAAAACCCCAGAGGGACGGAAACCAGCAGAATTGAAAACCCTCCATGCAGGCAGCACTAAACAAAATGTCTTGCGGGCCACACACAGAACTCCTATGAGCCGCATGTGGTCCGCAGGCGGCCCACCACTGAATTAGCAGCTCTTTAAAATGAACTCATTCTCAGATCCTTGGCAAGGTTTCGGTTAGAATCATTCCACTCCACCCAGGCTAAAAACTATAACTTTGTTTTATCTCCAACCAAAGCTTTGCCCTGGCCTAGACCTTTGCTTTGGCTTCCTGATTCCAGCAAATAAACTCTCCAGAGGCCATTTTGGTTCAGGATCACAATCTAGTAAGATAATTAATATCTTCAGGAAGGAGTGCAGTGCTAATTATGAGTCAATCTCTAGCTGGCAGGACTTCCATCTGCTGCTGAGAGAAGGCTTTCAGGAGCTTAATGACTCCTGGGTGAAAACAATCAGGTAAAACCAAACAAACTAGGAAAAGTTCTCTCGTTAGAATTATCAGCAAGAAACAATGAAAAAGTGGCCAAGGAGCTTCCTGAGGAATGGAGACAAGATTTGTGTTTGGAGTTGTCTGAATGGCCCCCGCCCCTCGCACATAACTCTGGCTTACTCTTACCTAATTATAAGGCCATTTCCCAGGTAGCATTTGAAAGCTTAGAAAGCTGTTCTCACATCCACTGGAGGTAATAAAATAGAATGACATTCTGCTTCCTTCCGTGCAAACAAAAGCACCATGTGGTGCTGGAAATCAAATATGGCACTTACTCTTTGGGGGGGTTAATGTCCTCTGGTCGAGCCTCAAAGAACCTAAAGACTTCGTCACACTGTGAAATGTGAGGAGGAAGCCTGACGAGTGCCTGTAAAAGAAAGGAGGGAGGGGAGAGGAAAGCATTTAGAGAAATCACATTGTGAAACGGGTCCTGAAATGTACAACCAAGAGGCAAGAAAGAACAATGCAAAATTCTGGATCAAGTCAATTCTGGATCAACATTAGAAGAGCAGAGGAAACAAATAAGAAAACCTCACGCCTAGGTGCTTCCTGGAAAAGAAAGCATGTGGCAAATGGCTTATTCTGTGCGCCTAAACAGAGGGGCTGCGGAGGGCTAGACTGGTTTGGGAATATGGGGCAAAATTCTACTCTAGCTACTCGTGTGCAAATCCGTCTTACTCATCATGTGAATTCTTTGGGGCAGGGACCATCTCCTTGTGTCTGTACAGCCCTTAGCATAGCAGGGTCCTGGCTGCTAAGTATAAATACATCATCATCATCATCCCTAAACTTCAAATTCAGAACACGCTAATACAGTGGAGTAATTTGCTCCATAAGCCCTCTCTTTTGTGGCATCTTAGTAGTGAATGCAGGACATGTGAACACATTTCCTAGCAAGTAAAGAGGGGGGAGAAAAAACAACACGTTACCCACCTTTGCATTGCTGTTGTTCTTTGAGATGTGTTGCTCATGTCCATTCCATTCTATGTGTGCGCGTACCCACCTGCACCATTTTTGGAGATTTCTGCCGTAGCAGTATCCGTAGGGCTGCCGTGTGGCACCCTCTGCAGTGCCAGGCTCATGCAGTGGTATATCAAATGCCACTGGCACTTCACCTCCTCCGTTTCTTGTTTCCGGCAGCTCAGACAGAGAGGCCGGGGGGTGGGTTTGCAATGGGGATGACCAACACCTCTCGAAGTTATAAAAAGGTAGGTAACTGTTTTTTTGGATGCCTGCTCATGTCAATTCCATTCTAGGTGACTCACAAGCAGTGTTGATAGAAGACGTCTCGGAGTTCACAGCTTGGCAGCTTGCAGTACTGGTCTACAAAGCCAGCATCGGCCTGGGCCTGCTGAGGAAGCACGTGCTGGGATATAAAGGTATGTAACAATGATCAGGTGGCAGCCCTCTAGATATCCTGAATTGGCACTTGGGCCAAAAAGGCGGTCGACGGGGCCTGCACTCTGGTAGAGTAGGTCATGACAATTGCTGGGGCAGCACTTTTGCTTGATCATAGCAGAAGCGAATGCTGGCAATGATCCAGGAAGACATTATTTGCGTGGACTATGGGAGCATGCGTCCTTTAAACAGAGGGCAGCACACCAGTCCCACGAATCCAGGGATGGAATGATGGAGGCCAGGGGAGACCATGTGAAACTTCAACTTTTTGACAGACTTGTTAGGGCAATGCAGGTCTAGAAAAGATCTGAGGCCCCTCTTGATTTCGGAATTAGGGTATGTCTACACTACCCCGCTAGTTCGAACTAGGAGGGTAATGTAGGCATACCGCACTTGCAAATGAAGCCCGGGATTTGAATTTCCCGGGCTTCATTTGCATAAGCGGGGCGCCGCCATTTTTAAAACCCCGCTCGTTCGAACCCCGTGCAGCGCGGCTACACGGGGCACGAACTAGGTAGTTCGAACTAGGCTTCCTAGTTCGAACTACTCAGGTAGGAATAAGAGATCCTCTGGAAAAGGGCTTTATTCTGGAGGATCGCGCCAGTCTAGACGCTATTTTCTGGCTTTTCCCCAAGCCGGAAAAAAAGCGGCGGAGATGTTTAAGGAAGCCTAGTTCGAACTACCTAGTTCGTGCCCCGTGTAGCCGCGCTGCACGGGGTTCGAACGAGCGGGGTTTTAAAAATGGCGGCGCCCCGCTTATGCAAATGAAGCCCGGGAAATTCAAGTGCGGTATGCATACATTACCCTGCTAGTTCGAACTAGCGGGGTAGTGTAGACATACCCTTAGGGACTAGCAGTTGCAGAATTCTCTTCCTTCCATGGTTCACTGAACCCACTCCACTGCCCCTAGGGGCAGGAGTTTTTCGAACTCCTGAATGAGGAGATGCTCATGAGAAGTGTCCCCGAAGAGGGGCAGAGAAGGAAGTCCAAGGGTTGGTCGGCTATAAATTGCAGGATACAGCCTGACAAAACTGGGTTGAGCACCCAGCAATCGGAGAGCCTACGGGAGCAGGCTGACCAGAATAGGCAGAGGCAGTAGAGGCAGATGAGGAGTGGATCTAGTATAGTGATTGGGGTGTGATCCTCGGTGCCTCCTCAAAAGGCCTGTGTTCAATTGCCTTGGTCCCTGGACCATGCGGGGCAGCTGGATGAGATGTCTACGGCTGGTGGTGTTCAAAACCCCTATATTTGTCTTTCTTTTTGTAGCAGCTGAACTGAGGGGAACCCCAAGATCTAGATCACAGTGGAAGTGAGGGGGTGGGGAATGAATGGCTTCCTATGCTGCTGAGGAGTATGCAGGCCCGAGGAGCAGAGTGTGGCCTTGGAGTCTTTAAGGTCACTGAGCCTTGCATCCATCAGCCCCTTTCTCTCTGAAGTACTTTGCATCTCTGGGGACAGCCCGGAGGTCTACAACTGGGAGCTGGGGTACAAGGCTGTCACAGAGGAGACCACCCTGGATTCCGAGTCTGTGCTGCCCATGGGTTCCAGTTTTGCCACTGCACAGGCCGCTGCCCTTGACCCCGTGCTGGTGCTGCAGGTGCCTTGTCAGTTCCTAGCTAGGAGATGATTCACCCTCCTTTATGGGGGAAGGGCTGAGCTGGTCCTCGGACCCATACCAGTGCCCTTCCTGGAGGAGCTGTCGAAGCCTGAGTTTGTTGATTGACCCTCACTGGTGACTGGTAGGAGAAGGGGAGGGCCTGTGACTTCCTACAGAACAGTCCTGGGGCCCCAGTGACCTGTGCTGAAACTAGGAATGGTCCCGTACTGAGGGGACCGATGCCTGGGGGATCTGTGAGACGATAGCCATCTCTGGTGGGAGGACTGTTGGTACCAAGAGTACAGGGGATCGGTGTCAGAGGCGGGTCCCTGGCTGGGCCAGGGGGTCTGATCACAGTGGTACCCCCGAAAGCCTCTGTGGCAGGCATAAGACCTAATTCACGTCCTTTGCCTGAACTTCCCTTCTAGTGCGGTGCTTGTGAACCAGTCGACTTAGACCGCTTCCTCCATACCTGTCGGGGGAATGGCGCTGGGTGGATTCTAGTGCATGCCAACAACGAAGTACCAGGCAAGGCATCTGAGCGCGAGGGCTCCGGTGCCCGTCTCAGAGCAACCTCCATGAGGAGGGCCCTCAATACGACCTCCCTCACTTTTTGAGCCTGGGGATGAATGTTTTTGCAGAGCCAACATTTGTCTTTTTCACGGGACTGCCCCTGGCACTTCAAACAGTGATCATGAGGGATCAGGAACAGGCATCAGCTGGCTGCACTCAGGACAACGCTTGAAGTCTGGGGAACAAGACGTGCCCTGCTCCAGCACATGAAACACTTAACAGCTAAACAATCAACCAAACAAAGAAGGAGAACAATCTAAACAGTGAAGAACTGCTAATGTTCTTGCTAAGCAAGACCAGGCCGGGAGATAAGAAGGGTGTGAGAGGGCAGAGGGATGGCGCTGCCTGATATACCGCCGCATGCGCACGGCACTCCAGAGGGCACCACAGACAGCCCTCTGGATACCGCTACGGCTAAAGCTACATGGGGGTGCGCACGTACCTAGAATGGAATCGACATGAGCAAGCACTCGAAGAAGAAAGAACGTGATTAACTGTCTGGAGAGACAGGCAGAGAGCATGTTTCTGCTCTACAAAGGAGCCCTCACTGCAATGTATCATGGCTAATGCACTCAGTAAGTCAGCGGTTTTCAAACTACAGGTCATGACCCAGCACTGGGGGGTGGAATGTCGGGCGCTGGGTCTTGGTGCTGCAGGGGGACCAGGTGAGCAGTGGGGGGGGCTGAGGCAGCTCCCTGTCTGTCCTGGCGCCGCACACTGTGCTGTGCCCTAGAAGCGGGCAGCAACAGACCTGGCTCCTCGGGGGCACACAGGGCTCTGTGCACTGCCCCCGCCCTGAGCACTAGCTCTGCACTCCCGTTGGCTGGGAACCTGCTGGCGGCTGCTTCTGGGGGCAGCATGGTCTGAGGTGCCAGGAGAGGCAGGAAGCTGCCTTAGCCCCCCCTGCTGCTCTGCTGACCAGGAACCAATTTATGTTGGCGCATGGGCATCAACAATTTTCTTCAACTGTGTCATGAGAAAAAAAAGTTTGAAAACCGGTGGTGTAAGAGACTGATATGCAGTGTGCACTGTGCTCAACAATAATAAACACAATGTGAAGGATAACTTCTATTATTTTTAAGTCTGTTGGAAACTAAGCATTCAAGTAGATAAGACAAGCACATCTTGTAACGGCCCAAAATGTTTTCGGCGTTTGCTCTCTAGGTTCCTTGCTTTGGGACTGTCAGAGAAGCTCGAATATTCATCCAAAATGTGAGAGGCAGCAGAGAAGAAAGAATCAGATTATTGATCTGTTTGCACACGATTCAGAGATTTGCAGCAGGAAGCGAACTGCAGAAGGGGAAGGGAGGGTTGGGATTAACTTGCTCTTTTGCGGAGGCATGTCAGAAGCAGGCTGGGGGAACAGTTAAATATAGTCAAAGCTTCTCAGAGGAGCCGCAAACCTGTTCAACAGAATGCGATTACCTGGCTCTTAAGTCAGGCGAAAATAGGGTAAAGGACCTCAGCGCTCTTCCAGATAATCTTGAAAGACAGATGAAAAATCGCACTAGTACTAAATCACAGATATGGCTGGGTGAACTGGGCTTGACTAACCTCACGACAGAGCGATTTACCTTGGCCAGATACACATACAAAACAGGAGCAGGCAGTGCAATTCAGTTAGCTGTGTTGTTCTGTGTCTAACCAAATTTCCAGAAGAGCTGGAACTGGTTCCTATGCCATTGCAGTAGGGGAAGAAAGGCCCCTTGAATTCACTGGGATTTGTGCTCAAATCATTTAGGTGCTTCTGAAAGTCTAACTCCCAAACGTATGTTCCTGTTCTGGGAAATCTTGGGACA